CCCCAAAACCCCAAAACCCCAAAACCCCTTTTTTGATAAAGAAGATTGAATCTTTTTTGTATCTAATAATAAACGAACCAATATCTGAATTGTGATAAAATATAACTTGATATGAAAGTAAAAATTAAGAACTGCCGAGCTTTCCTATCTTCTTAGATACTTCCAAAAGCTTGATATCAAACCATCTTGGCTTTGTAAAACCAGCTTGTATATCAACATGTTTAGCTGAGTTATTATCTTGAAAATATTTAGTCCAGGAAGTGTCTCCATCTTTGATCTTCTCCACTAATTTAGGCTCTAACCATTTAATTCATCTGCCCTTTTCCCATATTCAATACTTATCAATAGCATTATCTGGAAATATGTAGCAGCCAAGACCATGCTCCTTACCAAAAGCCCAAGATCCTTTAAAATATTTCCCGCTTGGATATTTGTAAATTCCATACCCATGTTTTTGATCATTTTTGTACTGCCCACAAAATCTGCTGCCTTTTTTCCAAACATAAAATCCTAATCCATTCCTTTTATTATCCATCCATTCTCCTCTATATATTTTCCCGTCATTCCATTTGTTAATTCCGACACCTCATTTTTTATTCTCAAACCACTGGCCTTCATAAATACTACCATCATTTCATTTTTCCACCCCATAGCCGTGCTTTTTGTCTTCTTGAAATTCCCCTTCATACTCTGAATTATCTGCCTGTATTTCAATTCCTTTCCCATGCATATTGTCATTTTGCCAATGTCCATGGTAAGTAGCGCCATTAATCTGATTGTATACTCCGAACCCATTAGCTTTATCATTGGCTCAACTACCTTCATAAATGGTTCCATTAGTATGAGTGAACTTTCCTTTTCCTTCAGCTTTATTGAATCTCCAAGATCCCTCGTAGGTTGCTCCATCTGGCCATTTCTGAGTGCCAATGCCATCTCTGAAACCTCCCTTCCATTCACCTTCATACACAACTCCTGATTTGTAGGTGTATTTCTTTGTTACTCTGGGCTGGTCGAAGTCATAAACTTTTCCTTTTTGAATAGTTTCTTGAGATTCTTCTAATTTTAAATATCTCGTTGATTCCTTCCGAGCTAATAATAATTTCTCGTATTCTTTTCTTTTCACACTTCCTCTTCTAATTGCTTGGATGCTAATGGTCTTCTTAATGATTTCGTTATTAAACTTGTCCTGGTCCTCTTCCTTCTTTATATTTTGGAGGGAATGTACATAGTCAACTTGGTGATCAATACTCTTAAGCTCTTCAGCTTTGTTTTCTTCAGTGCAAGTTCTAATTCAGTTGCCCATTTATTAAAATATTAGTTTTCTTTATATCCTAATTTCGCCGGGGTTTTGGGGTTTTGGGGTTTTGGGGTTTTGGGG